AAAGATATGGAGGATCCCTTACAACAAAAGTACAAACCTCAAAAATATAACTAAACAGCTTTGTGAGAATTCCTAAATTCCCACAGCAGAAACTGTGAAACTCGGGGATTGATAATCCCCGACAAGTATTAGATTATCAGCTAATATGCAGATGTTTCCACGAGTTTCCTTTTTCGGATTTCGATGAGCACAGAATTATTAGGTTGTCCTGGAAGTTTTGTCCGTTTTTTATCATCGCTCACTAGAACTCAGAGAACACCGATCCATGACCAGCTTAAATACAGATTCTTATCTTCTTTCTTACAGCTGTATTTGCTCTCTGATCTACTCTGTCTTTGCAGTGTTAAAATCAGCTTCCTGAGCAGCTCAGAAGTAACGCCAAATTTTTACTAAGTTTCAAAAATGATGTTATCCTGATGTTTTCAAAGAGCGCTGATGAATGTCATGCCAAGCCTTTGGCTACATTGTACCCATTTTAGATTACATGGGCCATGTTTACCAAGTTCCTTATAGTTATTTGTTTGATAATAACTGCGCCTTTTTGATTACGTTTACCACGTAAAAGTACCGAAAATTCCAAGAAGCTGCTTTTTCAAAACAAATCAAACTTGGTTATGTAGCATAAATAATGCTTGATAAGATATTTCAATTCGCAAAAGTTTCAAAAGCTTTCATGTATCTGCTGCAGTTGCGTGTTTCATGACTTTGCCAGAATTCGAGACTTCCGAAGATATAATGTTTTTGAAGCTAAAAACAGCAAATCAAGAGAATCCAAAATATTACCTTGTATTTATAATTGCTCTGTTTGATCCATACTTAGTCCTTTCCGAAATTTTGGAATGAAATTTAGAAAAAGTACCCTAACTCTGAGCAGCTTAAATTGACGGATGGAGAATTTCGGCAGTTATTAAAGAAAGCATACAAGATTGTGGTTCGAAGTATTCTTAAAAAAGAGAAGGAAAAGCTGCATCGAATGCTGAAATTCATTCAGGTCTTTATTGTGCGTGGTTTTATACTTGTTTGAAAAAAAGGACAAAACTTTCGGGACAGTAGCAGAGGTTCATTGATTCTATTAATGTAGGCCTTCCTCGTACCCCTCCAGTGCTATTCTTAGAACTCACGCAATGCTGACCATTACGATTAAATTAAAAAGGATTACCTAATCTAAAATGTTTTCCATGTTAAATCTTCAGCTTTGGGAAGAAGTTCTGTGTAGCTTGGAAGAAAGTTCTGTGAGGAAAAATAAATGCGGACTTAAAACGATTACTAAGTAAGGCTCACTAGCCATCTTGAAAGACCATGAACACTCGAACTACATGTTTGAGTGAAGTTCTTCTGTTTCCTAAGTGGAACCCTAACCAACGACAATAACCCAGTCATCCTACCACTTGCTACACATATAATTATCAGCTACAAAGATCAAATATAGCGATGAATTTTTTGCAGAAAATCGCAACGAAGAAAAAACCAGCATTGTTTTAGGTGTCAGATTATTCGAATTATTCGAATAGTCGAATATTCGATCATATGTAATTATTCGATTATTCGAATAGTCGAATACTCGATTGTATGTAATTATTCGATTATTCGAATAGTCGAATGTTCGACCAACCCCATTTATTCGAATATTTGTTCATTCGAATTTTGAAATGTAGCATTATTCGAATATTCGAATTCGAATAATCTGAAAATTACAGATCGAATGATATTCGTTCGTTCGAATATTTTTCAAAAGAAGATTATTCGAAATTCATTCGTTCGACGAAATTTTTTGGTCGTTCTAACTATAACCTCAGCGATCGCCCAGTCGCTTGTGCAGCACGCGAGACGCGACATCGTTGGGTTTTATCATGGCGATTATCGATTATGGGTCATCACGGCGATTATCGCTGGAACTATGCCCTAGCCAAAGAGGGTTTGCGATCCGTCGCGCCGAACGAGTACCAAAACCGCCACAGCAGACACGAGGGCATGCAATTAATGCGTACCAGTCGTCTTTTCACAGAAATCGCAGCGCGACGGAATAGTGACCAATATGCCTTGGGCCTAAAGCCCTGGCCATACGTACGGCGATTTCATCTTCGCGATTTCGTCGCCGAAGCATTTCGTGATTGTAGCGACGAAATCGCGACTATGGACGACGACGACGACGCTGGCCATACCGTCCAGCGATTGGGTGCAATTGCACAAGTTAGCACAAACGCTACGTAATCTTTTGGCGTCGTTCTGACTAGTGAATTCATCCTCAGTTTTTTCTTTCATTTGTACATTTTTTCGAATTTTTATACCTATAACAACATCAGCAGTTTTGTTTTTCGCTTCTATCTGTCGTATTACTGATTTTCTTACTAGAAGCCGAATGCAAAGTTTGTATTTTCACAGTGATCTGATTTGGTAGTTCATTTGCGTTTACAAACTCTGTCACATGTTCTTTTCCTCTCTGTGTGGCGTTGCTGAGTGCTGTTAATCAAATTTAGAGTGAGAATGCGGCCAAAAAAAGATCAAACAAGCTAGTTACTTTAACTTTCCTTATTTTCTCCCTTTCACAAGGGGAGTCCGGCATCGAAAAGACATCTACTCTAATCAGTTTCTCCGTAATGTGATTTCATACCGATTGTGTGTTTCGATTAGCACCTCTTACAATATCTGGCGTACTATTTGTTTCATACATGAAAGCTATCTGTATTTCTGTTTAGAAGTATACTCCGGTGCCAATTGGCATGGAAAACACTCGTCATTGAACATAGAATAATGAACATAACGTAGAGGAGGCTGATATGAACAAATGATGAGGTGCAGGTATGTTTACTGGCTTATTTTAACTACTCATTTGCTTTTTCCAATGTTCGTCAGTCATTATACAGTCGAGTAGAATTCCTGCTTCTTTATTCTCCATGCAGACGCGGCAACTTTTGTCCGTCAGCAATTGTCATTGCGAGTTTCAATGACTGTTTTCTAGTGTTTTCTTTGGTTATTCTTTACTTTAGGTAACTCGCGGTGGTAAGGGACAAAAAAGTAAGTTTGAAAGTTGTTCCTCTTTCCTATGATTTAACTACTCTTTCCTGAGTAGTTAAATCATAGCTAAATTTGAGTATCTACGTAGAAGCTGCGTTGCGTCGCTCTCATGGCTCTTTTTTTGTTACTTCATGCTTTTTCGCGTCATTCATATGTATTTATGTTACTCCATGTCTCTTTATTCTTGTGTAGCATTTGGACGCTAGCAGGCATTACGTCTGACTCACCTCTTCACTGTACAACTACATGATCAAATGCTGTCTTTTTATATGCGAAAGCCGAAGTACTACGAAGCCTATCAGCGTTCAACGAAATGCTACAAGAAGAAGAGGCCTGAACTAAGCAAAAATACACATAAAACTGAAGCGACGTGTCTATCACGTAGATACCTGAAAATGAGCGATGGTATAGCCATTCAGAAAAACAGAAACCACTTTCTAACTTACTTTTCTCTCCTTTACCACCACGAGTTACAGTCGAGTCATTGCATATGATCATGTGCGTCACCGCACACAATGTCCACCTTTGGCGTCCTCTTCCTGGATTCTAAGAACAAAGGGTCCTTCCGCTAAGTGTTTTCCGGGATTTCTTCATAGTTTATCTCCTTTTTACGTACCAATCTTCACAAAGTGATGTAAGTAGTAACAATCGGTTCGTATCTTGCACTTCTGCGATTGCAATCCAGGATGGGGTCGCCAAAGGTGGACAGTGCGTGCAGTGACACACATGATCAAATGAAATTACTCGACTGTACCTAAAAAAGTAAAGAATAAGCAAAGAAAATGCCAGAAAACTCTCAATAACAATTGCTGACGGACAAAAGTTGCCGCGTCTGCAGGGAGAATAATTAAAGCATGAATTCTACTCGACTGTACATGTTTTCTGCCCTCCTGTACCTTCGGGTTGCGAACTGACTCTTCTTCAACAGAGAGCCTTCTTGTTTTTATTTCCATACAGAAAAGAATTCGCAATGTTTTGCTGTCAGCTTTGCCAAGAAAATGTTTTTTGCATATTAGAAGCACAAAGGATTGTGCGAGTCGTCAACTTTTCGAGACTTTTTCATGTAAATTTTCTATACTTAGGGATCCTCAAAGGTAGCTATTGTTCATCCTAAAGTGAGAAATTGAACAACCCAAATATGGAATTTTGTTTTCCCCATACTATCGTATACCGTCGGAGAAGCTAAAGTTTGTTTCAAGTATCTGTTTCACAAGTTTCGATTAGTATCCGTTAACAGATTCCTCGTTTGCCACTGGTAATCTTCGCTATGAAATCTTTGTGCAGTAGGGGAGAATTTCCAAGATTCCGAAAACCGCGACTTTGTTTCTAAGCTGAAACTCAATTATTGCTTTTACCTGAATATACAGCTTTGGGAGTTCCCAATCAATTTTATTGGGGATAGAAGTTGACATGCACGCATCCACGTCCACCCTGACTCTCATTAGTGCACCTACATTTCATCATTGTCGGTCGCTGTCTATCTCTTCCTTTTACTGCACAGATGTGCTCATCTCCATGCTGTACTATTTACAACCATCGTTGTATTACCGTTCTGGCACTGTCGCCGTCATGGCCACCAATAATGTTCAGAGGCACAAAGGTACTTGCATGAGATAAGATGTGGTGATAGACGTGCAAGGAAAATAATAATTGTCTTTTTGCGGACGTGAGACTGCACATGTTCTCTCACGACGTGACCGTTGACACCACATTTTTGATTCAAAAGCAAAAAACGAATTTGGGTGTTCTTGGTTTTACCAAGATCGTGCCCGATATTTTAAGCCAATTTGGTACGAATGCTAGGTGATTGCGCAAACGAATTCAGGAGATCAATATGCGTCCACATTTTTGGGATGGAGATGTGGGTATTGGAAGGATATCAATCATGAAGATATCGCTCATCTTACTTGAATCGCACAAGTCGTTTATCTGTCAACACAAGATTCAATACATTTGATAGTTATTTGGAGAGTGGAGACAATCTGATGGTCTATGAGTACACGGGTTTCATTGTCGAGGAGTTCGAAAGTCTCCACAGAAGACTGCGTACTCGGCTTCTGCATGAGCAACTCCATAGGCATCCAACTGAGGGTGAACATCAATTGGCCATTTGCTTGATGTTGGCAGTTGAATATTGAATAGTTTTTGGACATACAACTGCTCACACATTTTTTGGGACATATCGTGCATGCGGGCACGAATTCGAAATTGGCAAGACTACTGCGACTGAAATAGTTTATGAAGTGTGTCGGGCCATCATCGCAGGTACTCTAGTAATGTGGGATATCTCTGAAGAAAGATATTGAAATATGTTGAAGAGTTCCGAGATGAAGCCTTACCGACGCTCATGCGTGAAACCTGGGCTGAAAGCGCCGAATTTTACGAAATTTTCCAAAGGTACTTACGTGGCGTAGGAGCCATCAACGGAAAACATTTTCGTTGCGTGGTAGGTGTTTCCGTTGTACTTGTACACTGTGATCACCGATATCGCTTAGCGCCCATAAGAAGTGGAAGTAGTTATTACAACTACAAGGAACATTTTCGATTGTGTTGATTATCGTAGCGGATTACAGAATCATGCTTATGGATTGCGCAGGCAAAGGTCGCCACTCCGACTCGAATATGTATGCCAAGACAAGTAGTTCCCATTTGTACGAAACATACATTTCAATTTCTTTTTTGACATCTAGGACTATTTCGAACGTCGCTGATAAAAAAACTTTCTTGAAAAAGCAACACAATCTTTCCCCTCGGCTGCACTACTAGAAGGCAATGGAGTAGTGGATTACCACATCCTTGCTGATGGAAGCTTTCCCAATCACATAGATGCAGTGACCATTTCAACGAAGAGAAACCTTTCAAGAAGTGCAGAACGCCCACTCTAACACGGGCTTTAGATCGTAAGTCTTACAACTCGGTTATCTCCTCACGGAGTAATCTCGCTTTTATCACATGTACCATTATTTTAGAGCACGTAGGTCGTAGAAAATGTTTTTTGGATCAGTTCCCGATTCCGCATATATCAAGCTCCACTGCGCGGAACGCCAAAACATGTAAAAACTAGTCATTATCACTACATACATAGTACTAAAGTAGCAAGTAATTATTCAGTAACAAGGTTAACAATTACAGATCCTGCATAATTTTCTGGCAATAAAGCTTTCCGGGGACGAAATGAAGGCTAGATATCCGTTGGTGGAAGCTAATTTGGGGATTCCGGAAGAAAGCTCATCTAGGACGCAGGGACGAGTTCTTGATGACGCACTGTTCAGCGGGAGCATGTATCCAACTACTTTGCCAATGGCGATGATTAAGGTGAAGTTTATTCGCCTAGGTGGGTCTACTTTTCAAGCAACTGTTCCATTACTGTACGGAAATTTTCAGATCCGAGTCATTATTGTGACTTGTTTTTTTCTGCGTTTGGTGGTATTGCCTTTCTTTTTCATTCCTGCATGTTCGGTTTATTTTGTTTGCTAATGCCAATTCGCGAAGTCGAAACAAGAATCGTTTATGTCCCGGATTATCGTGAGTCGCAATTATCTTGAGACACTGATTTTTCTAATCATAGCGTCGTGTTGTAGAAAAGAGGGTACACCCGCGAGCTATCCTAGCTTCGTGACACGCAATAAACCAATGGGACCCAGTCATATCTCGCAAACTTGGCCGAATCTACTCGTATCTGTCAGAACGTCCTTGTAGAAGTTGTAGAAAACATGCTCAGAAGGCTAACAGACAAGCAAGCAAGCTGACATAACAGCAAGTACATCCAACCGAATCATAGAGGTATGTTTCTGCTTCAGAAGCATTGAGGCGAGTGTAGCGTTTGTGAGGTATTTATATACAGAGCTTGATCGTGAGACTTTTTCCGTTGTGGATTCCCTCACATAGTGATTTCTTGAGACTGATTGACACTGAGTTGATCAAGAAGCTGAAGGACTTAATTTCATCACTCATGTAGGTATGAATGAGGGTACAAACTCAGCGAGTGTCAAACTTGAAATAAGAGAGGAAAAGTAATATTTCTCTTTTCTTTTCTTAAGAAAAAGTTTTTTAGGGCAGTCTGAGACTATCTCATCCACGTCCCATAGCCTTCGCAATAGCTACAGTTGCGACGCAGAATAATAAAGCAGGTGAGAGTGTTGAATCGAATGTCTGAAGACACTCGATAGTTCTAGGAAAAGGATTCCTCATTTTTAGACCAAACAGGATCCTGATTGTCACAAATCTGAATCCATAGTCGATTCCTGAAGAATCTCATCCCCGCTACAAATGTTTTCTGCTGGAACGTACCGTAATACTAACTCATAACAGAGAATTTCTCTGCACAGTAACTTTCTTATTAGCGTGGTTGGAGTTTGTTTGCATTTCGTATTGAATGAAAGGTAAGATTCTCCGAAAAGTGAAATCTCTGTTCTAGTAAAATTTCTCTGTAAATGTTGATCCTGTTTGCTGTGAATCTCCTGTATTCTTAGGAATAAGTTGTTTTTTGCTGTGCATTGTGAGGAGGCAGCTATGAGTTTCGGTGAACGATATCAATGATTTCTCATGTCATGCATCTCATGGTTAACTAAATTCTTCAATTTTTCATGTAGACTTTGAATTGTTGATTTGTGATTGATTTGTTTACATGATTGATGTCGACGAGTTCAGTGATTAAAGCATTGTTTCGGTTTCGCTATATCTACAACATATGCATTTACAACATGTACTGGAAGTTGTATGAGACAATACATGGTCCATTGTAGAACAGGACAGCATCAGGTTACGTCAAATCATTTTGTTTATGATCAAAGGAAATCTCAAAAGATCATTAGCAACAAACTATGCAGAAAAAACCTAAGGTTAAAAGCACTTTCTGCATATAAGGACGAAGACAAAGATAAAATCAAAAGCTGTGCTCACAAAGTCATGAAACCTATGATGTTGAGACTAGTACATGCTGGCATGGGCTTGTACCAAACAAATCTATCCCCAGAGAACGACCGCGTTGTTCCTTGACATCTCGATCGTTTTAATTCGTTGCGGCACTCACAGCTAGAAAAAAACGCGTTAAGTACTCTTGACAACATTTCTTAGATACTATTTCAAGCCAACAGTCTACAACCGAAACAGTACTCACAAGAAACCATGTGTATTAGTTCGACTAGTTGTTCGGCAAAAGCTTGTCCACAGCCAACGAATGCATTGCGCTCCTGCAAACAAACCCTGCTGCAATGACGATCAGGTGGGTACGTATGAGTCGTGCTGACGTGTCGGGCATCTGCGGTCGCACCTCAAATACAACAGTCAAGATATTGCTATACAGACTAACTTTTGAACACAGGTTGAATGTTGAACCGTGGGTTCAATAAGAGATAATCGACGACATTTAAGGCTAGATCAACGTTAGAGACCGTTAGTTCAATCGTCGAAACTCACAAAACCACCCTTTATTTGCTGCGCTTTCCTCATCGGCAACTTCATGATCTTCCATGGCATGAGGCTCAGCCCTTGTACAAAGACGTTCAAATTGAAAACCTTCGACCTCGCCTTTTTCATACTGAAATGGCATTCATACACTATTACGGTTGAATAGAACGGAGCGGCGTAGTGTTAGTGCTTACCTGTACACCAAGTGTGATATTCTTCTCTCGGATAACAACCAGCAACTGTCATGTATCGAAGGTGCCTTCATTTTCAAATCCTGGATGCTTTCTTCTAGTATAAGGTGATCAATACCGAACATGCTCAAACTTCCTAAACAACATCATCAAAGTTCATGAATGGGAAGCGACTCTAAACGTCAGCTTTCGACAAAAGCGCCCACAAGCACCCTTATTACTGCCGAACAGAACATAAGACAATTGGGGCAGATCAGTATATACGTGGAAAAGATCTTGGAAAAGCATCCTTATGTTAAACACTCACACTTGAAGTTTGCAGTTATTTCGCAGTAAATCTGCCTCGTGTTCACTGCGAGGTAAAAAAAGAAATACATTTGATAGCAGATTAGTATCAGCAGCGTTGTGTGCATGTTGTTGTAAGGGACAACTTCAATTTCACAGCAGGAAGAAACGAACCTGGTTGCATACCCAATATTCGCAGATGTTCGCCAGGATGGCGAAGAAGTTATGCAGTGAATAGAGATATTTCGATATGGTCGGGAATAGAGAATTGCTGTGATATGCCACCGGTAGACAGCATAGTTGAGTTTTGAGTAAACCTGATAGCACTTTAGATAGGCTTTGGTGATACTTCGCCCGTATTGCCAATGTTTCCAGTGTTACTCGTGTTACCGGTGTTGCCGATGTTACCAGTGTTACTTGCGTTGCCGATGTTTCCAGTGTTACTCGTGTTTCTAGTGTTACCGCCTTTATTGCTGTTGATTCTCAAAATGATCGCCAGTACAGTTTTTTTTCTTGGTTACATTGGTAATATCGGCAACACGAGTAACACCAGTAACACTGGAAACATCGGCAACACGAGTAACACCGGTAACATCGGCAACACCGGTAACACGAGTAACACTGGAAACATTGGCAACACGGGCAAAGTATGGTCAAACCCATAGATGAAATTGGATAAGACTGCGGTTAACCATTTCATGGTGTCTGTTAAGAAGCGCAAGGTTCCACACGCTCTGCTTGCCGCTATCAATGCCATTGTCACGGCTGTGGTTACTAGAATGATCAACAGCATTTTCATGTTGACGCAGAGAAAAGAAAAAAGTGTAGGACAAGTAGAAGCGCAAGGCTGATAGTTTTCAGCACAGACCACAGAATGACACTGGTATCGGCACGGGTAAGAATGGCAGCATTAGTAACAACGTATGACTGAACCACATGATCAGCAGGCACGAACAACCCCCGCAAGATAAGAAGCGCAGCTCAAAAGAAAATCACATCTTCAAGCTCCAGTACTTAAATATGTTTCTGAACTTTAAGATAAAATATCAACCAGAAGCTTGTTCAGTTTCTTGATCCTTCGATGATCCACATGCCGACCGTCTTTTCTTCAAACTCATTTTCCTTCCTCACAACTTGGTGAAAACATCACGAGATTGTGCTACTTCTGATCCGACAGTGGTAAGCATGTTTCTGATGGGAACAAATCATAAGGATTTAAAATTCCCCACAAACCCCCCAATTTCGATCCGTAGTTTATCAAGACATTCCTCATTAGAGCATGTTCTCATCAAAGATTAGAACTGAGTTAGATAATCAGTGCAATATTGAGATGATTTTCACTGAATACTGATTTTCACTGAATACAAGGAAGAAAAATGAATTTGAGGAAAAGAGTGTTGGCACTGTCTTCATCTGGATATCATGAGAGATCTGTTCTAGTAAAATGTAGCAAAAAAATTTGAAGACGAGTAGACAGCGTGAAATCCTGATCTACAGAGTTTCAGCATATACAGCTTTTCTTCAAAGCTGCGCTTCTCTCCTACGATGATGTTCAAGCATACTGTCCTGAGTCATATGTTGATAGGAATAGATTACAAAATGATAAACTATACAAATTTGCAAATGATGAGCGGAAACAACTGGAAAAGAGAAAACTGAGGACCCACTTGTCATAAATTTCCACCACTACTATTTTGAAGTCCTCATCACGAAAGCGCTCATTCAACCAATAGGCAGTAGATGATCCCCAAACACAATATTAATCTGACCGCAGAAATTGCGAACTAATCCTCACCAGTAAGTCCACCTCCCATTATGATTATCCCAGCTCGATAAGAAAATTTCGTTGTCCTGTACGGCTTGTTTCATGTGAGCTGTCGGATTCCGGCGTCGAAAAGCATCCTTGCGTGCCTACAAGAACAAGTGAGGCTACAGATTCCGTATCAGATGGTACGCGAAATGGAATATATAATTTGGTACCAAAGGAAAACAACGTTTTGGCAAACCTCCTGAGAATGCTGTTTCCATCGCCGAGAATCATAAGTGAGACCATACCAAGTTGTACTCAAAGCGTCTTCTCCAGGCTCATAATGTCGCTCATTTTCATAGGACTGCAGAGGCTTGGTATAGAGGTGTGAACAAATTGCAGTAACTGGCACAAACGTGTTTGGAATGTAAGCATCAGTACCAACTCTGAAAAAAGTGTGAACTTACATAAAATCTTTCTTAATGAAAAAAAAAACAAAGTGAACAAGGGCAGTATGAAACCAAAAAACATCCTTTCGTACTCCTAGAGACAAAACTTGAAAGACTAACCTCTTGTTTCTCTGTGAAATATAGCCGCAATTATCGTCTCCTCAAAACGATCATCAACATCACCAACCAAATAGGAACTCCTCAAAACATTTACCGCTGTTTGTTCTCATGATGTGGATATAAGAACGAGAATCAAAAGGGTAATCAAGAAGCGGAGCACAGCATTACTCACAGTCTGTTAGAAGTTCGAACAAACACATATATTTACTACAACTGACGGCACAAATTAGAAGCACGACGGGCATCACAGTACGAAAAAGGTGCAAACTAGGAAAATTTGACATCTCATCCAAGAAACATGTCGAAAGGAAAAAGAATTGTTCAAAAAATATTCAGTGAAGAAATCCAATTTCAGCGATATCGCCCCGTCGCGGGTTTCAAAGTTGCGACGCGATATCGCAAGATTTCGGCCAAATCGCGACGATTTCGCTGGAATCGGTATGGCCTAGGAAAATACGCTCTGCGATCCGTCGCGGCGGACAGCTAGCACGACCGATATGCATAATTTGCCGGCATGAAACAGATGGTATGACAGTTGTTTGATTGCACAAATCGCATCGCGGTGATTTTTTTGACGGTATGGCCAGGGCTTAAGGGAGAAAGCGAGAGCGTCGGCCGTGCGGGCTAAATCGCGTTTTGCGGGCCTCTTTGAGGGCAGATTTCTCGGCGTAGAAGGGCCCGGACCAAGTCGGACTTGGGGGTGGTCGCCTGTTTAGGAGGGTCCCTTGACGAAATATGTGGAGACCCGCGCTACCCGAATTTTGGTGAGACACTGCCTTTAACACATTGATTCCTAGTTGTCTCCGTCTGAGACCAATGCATTTTACGGACCAGCCCACAATTCTCAACTATAATTACGCATGATGCCATCTACAGTTCACCTATGGTAGATCTGAAAGGCTGACAAAAAAGTAGAGGTCATCCCTAGATTCAGTGCAAAAGAGAGTTCATGGAATGAGTTTATCCCAAAATAGTAGTCATTTTGACAAGATTCCAACCTTGACACACATGGTGTGTCAAGCGGTCCCACGCGGCAGTCACTGCTTGACACACCATGCTTGTCAAGCTGTCGTCAATGTGTTAAAGGAGTGGCTCGGTAAAATTGCAACTGCGAGCTTTCCACACCTATGTGGCCTTCTGCATGTGCTGAGTTCAGTGCTATGCTTAAAAGGTCAAAATGTGCTTTTTATGGCGTTTTCCTACACTAGAGATAGCTGGAGGGGAGAGGCAAGGAATTCCCGCTAGCATCGCAATTGGCCGGCTGAGCCGATCAGCCAATTGCTGTCGAAATGGGTGGAGTTACATTTTCTGCAGCCAGTCGCTGTTTGTGGCGGGAATCCCTTGCTCATTCCCCTCCAGCTATCTCCACGATAGGGAAACGCCTCAGAAAGCACTTTTTTGACCTTTCTAGCAAAGCACTGGACTCAGCGCCTCCAGAAGATCATGTAGGTGTGGAAAGCTCGCAGTTGCAATTTTGCCGGACTACTGTCCTCAATAAGTAACGAGTCATTTATAAGCTCACGTTTATACAACAAAGTTAACTCTCGCCCACATCCTCGTATCCTTATTTCATTGGAACAGGGCTTTTGTGATGAGCATGCAATGAAAAAGCGAACACCTCGTTTCAGATGTATTTCGTATTGATTTGATGCAGTAGCGCATGTAGTAGAACCCTAAAAGCAGAATACCAGCAGCCGAAAGCTTTATGAAAGAGATATCTTATTGCTAGCGTGATTGAGACATGCGATTTATATTAGTTCCAGGCAGGGCCCGACATAGATCGTCGGGAAGCAGGCTGGACTTCGGTTTTGGAGCAAAAAGCAAAGGAGATATCGTTTTTGACGAGTCGTGGCCCAGTACCAAGAATAAGCGCCATTTAGTCGAACACAAGCTTCTCGGACAGATCGCACGATCGACATGCTCAATCGTGTATGGCGAAAAGTGCGCGCGATTTGAAAGCAAGGCTAAAATAAACAAACTGCTTGTTTACAGCGCACATAAAATTGTATAACACCAAAATTGAAGTGTGACATAGAGAATTATTTGCAAAAGAGTTATGCAAAAAGATTTGAAATTATATGAAGTATCACCTTTATAAAAATTAGTCCGTCTCCAGACGGTCACCAGACGATCTGAGATCGTTTGGAGCATATAATTTTGTCACTTCACATAAGTTTTGGATTTTTCTATCATGTTCGAATTCCCCGGTCAAAAATCCATCCCTGAGCGTGAAGACATTTTCATTAATTGCTTTTCCTTTGTTTTTTGCCTTCATTCCTTCATATATCGCTTTGTTAAATATCGCGCTCCAATGCCAAACTCTTGTGCATGCGTAGCATTCAGCTCCAATTTGGATTTTCACTCTTATCTTACCTTTTTTCTTTCAGATAGTAAGTCTTTTTTTGTTTTCATCTTCTACTAAGGAGGTAGGTCAAAGAGGACTTCGTAAAATCTCCGAAAGTCAAAGGAGACCTCGTTTTCGGAAACCCTAGAAACCGACTTGTGGCGGGCCCTGGTTCCAGGCCAGGCGTTCCTGAAACGGGTAATACATCTGATTTTGGCAATAAAAACCAGCTACCGCAAACAAAAACCGAAGGATGCTGCTTCAAAGCAGTTACAAGCAGGACAGAATTTGGGCGACTACTACCTGCCAAATCATTTCTTTACTTCTGAGATTTGCAATAGAGCGAACGGTAAGAATTACGAATTCTGATATCGCGGTGAATTAATTACCATCCACTTTGAGAGTATAAGAGACTGTAGAACACCTTGCACACAGTGCTTCATCTTAACTTGTTCCTTGTAAGATGGGTCATTCTTGGCTGCTTAGTCACAGGTAAAGCACGCCGCTTCTTTACATACTTTGACGGGAATTTCTAGTGGGCATCGCAGATACGTTTAAAAAAATACGGAATCCGCGTAGTTTGCTCCAAGTGCAGAACGTAGCAATCCAAGGAAACACAATTATGTTTCGAATGACTTGAAAATGGCACAAGGAGTAGTCGTTAGGCCATGTTCCATGGATGTTCCAGCATTCATTTTCTCATGTTTCCCTCTTCATCATGCCCGCAGAACTGCGTCTGATATGCGTGGATATGCATGGTTTGGCAAGGAGGTGTGAAAAGCAGTACTTTTGTAAAGAGATTAGGGCTTATCAACGTCGCCAAATATATACAATGCTCCGCTCATTTTATAGCTGGGGTTTGCAACTTATGGTGATCGAACAAAGAACTGATAAACTTTTTGATGCAAGAAACAGCAGACGAACTGTCTTTGATAGTGAGGTATGGACTTTTACACTGCAGTCGTCCTTTTTACAAAATGAACTAGAGCAACCGTCCTACTGATGCACCCGAAAGCAGTGTTCGGAAGGAATTTCGACTTGAGACTGCCTCCAAAAAATGCAATTTGTAACGCTCGAAAACGGGCTTTTTTGAAAAACCTAGAGATGCAAACCTATCTGAGTTGGGTCCCGGGCACCAAAGGGGAAGAGCGAGGGGGACCCCGTACTCAAAAATTGACCAAAAACTCGAAAAGAAGAGAGAAAAGGAGGAAGTGAAAGGGTTACTGAAATCCCACCTTTCACCGGCTCCGTTGAAACTGGGCCTTCGGATGTCTGAGCGCTTCGTGTGCCACGCGGGTCTTTCCTAGCTGAGGTTGGGGCGCGAACACTGAATGAATAGTGAACGAATGACAGAACTAGGAATACCAAATCGGCTTGAAGTAGTCGCGGATAGCAACCGCCGTAGATACACACCTCAAACTTGGATAATTAAACCCTTTATTTACCATTAATCAACAACAACAAAACATGCGAGACAAAAATACGAGGCGTAAAGCAATTCTAGTCGAATATTGAGTGTCATAATGAGCACCAGTAAAGGGATAAACACTTCACGGTAAGTATGAGGCACAATGACCTGAGTACACGAGAAAAAAATAGCAAATAAACTCAACAAATAACATATGAACGCTATTGAGTACTAGGGAAACAGCAAATAGTTGCAAAAAAAGTGAACCGGAAACAATGAACCGAAAATATGGGCAAGTATGAGATGTAAACAATGAGAACAAAAGCATATGTGCCAGTATACCTCGGAGTTATACAAGACAAAGTGACAGCAAGGTATGAATCAATGTTCGACGAAGAAATGACGATTGAGAAGATCCGAAGTCGATCACTGTGCGCTGCCTGTAATACTTGGGTTTTGGCGCGCGAATTGATTGACAGGGGGTGTTGAGGCCGGGGGTCAGATTCGGTCTCAGCACACTCCCGGGGGGCCATCAGTGTTGGTATCGTGCAAGTTGATCTTCGAGGTAACTTCTTTCCTCAGGATGCGAGCAGAGGCTGTAGAGGTGCGAACGTGACTTGCAGTACTTGCAGGATGTTCTTTCGGGACACGGTTTCGGGCAGCTTTTGCCCAAATAGAAGAGGCATAAGTTACGATCTCTCACCAAATTTCGTCTGTCCTCGACGGATCGAAACTCAATGCATGCGTCTTCCATATGAAAGCCTTGACAGAAGATGCATCTATGCTGTTGTGATGGTTCAGCTGCGTCTTCTCCGTAGTGACGCTTCTCACAAGGCGCTAAGTGATCCAAACGACGTTGTAGTAAAGCGAAATCGGGGTCTCTAGGGGGGCGCTTGGGTGGTGGCCGCGACCGATCCCTTCGTGTCTTGTGAGAGGTTTCCGAAGGCGTATTGGAGTGCTGGTGTTCTGACGGTTGGGTCATGAGTCAGTTATTTGAGTCATGAGATTTATCATGGAATTTACCAAGAGTTCCGTACTGTCCGAAATTTTTCCTTCCAAATGGCGGGATTTCTCATCAATCAGCATTGTTATCTGAAACAGTTGCTGCGGAACGGTTTCTTCAACTCGTTTAGCTTTCTCTTCGATAAGCATGGCTTCGGTTCTGCGTAACTTGCGCAAAATAGAGTCGATGTCGGGAGAACGCGTGGGGTTGTTCTTCTCTTCGATGACTGTGTGCAAAATCTTCTCGATATCGTCGAGCTTCGAATGAATGTCGACGTCTTCGGACACGTAGGGTAAGTTAGCCGTCTCCACGCGTGGGTTGAGAAATGGTACGATGTCCATAACTTCGAGTGCTCCTTGTTTGCCTCGCAACAGTTGGGTTTCTTCTTGTATGACGAAGAGATTGAAGTCCTTCGAGTTGATGCGTCCTCCTGGCCGTGGACGATTTTCGAACATTTGTCGGCTAAAGAAACGCGAGGCGTCCTGTCGCACTAAGCTGTCGTAGACTTCCCACAAAAGATGAGATACGACTTGTACTTTTTCCCATCTTTCCTGCAAGTGTTCGATGACCGCAATAAGTTCGTTCCTTAAGTCGTGGAGCGGTTTCGCTCGTGCTGGATCCGGGTCGAAAACGCTGGCCTTCTCCTTGAGTTGCGAATATGATTCTTCGATTTCGTGACGTTGCTGAATAAGCTTCGTTATTTCGGCATATACGACATCCAGTCTTCGCTAAAGCTCCGATTCTTCGGACATCGAACTTCGTTCGTTGAAGGTGTTCATGAAGTTGTCGATGAATTCGTTTGGATCGTTCGCCATTCTGAAAATAGACGTATTCGACTGTGTAACTGATTTTTCGTCTGTGCTAATGGAATTGATTTCGTACTCTTCGGGGCTGTACGGGTACTGTTTGGAGGTGTTTCGCTTGGGGCGCCCTGGGGTTTCAGGTGAAGGTTCGCTTGGAAGTTCGGTGGGTGTAGGTGGGTTTTTGTGGGTGGGTAGGTATTCGCGGCCGGGATCCGAATCCAGTAATTCTAGTGGTATGAGACTGTTTACTGGTCTCTTCGCACTCTTCCGTTTGACATTCTGAGCTCGACTTGGCGTATTTGATTTGGACTCTCCGTCCCTAAATTCGTTATTAATCCCATTTTCCAAGCATTTCTCGATAAAAATGGATCTTGTATAAGTACTACTTGTTTAACCCGGGGAAGTTTTGGGGAACTACGACCTTGATGTAGATGTTTTCGATGCTGCTTCCTCAATGACGTCAAATAGCTGTCTTTCCACAGCTTCCAAAACCCGTCCGTCAGCATTTGCGAGGCGTGTAGGGCTGACTTTGCTTCGTTTTGGGTCCTGAGCTGGACAGCCTCCTCCGGAGGTAGGAAGTTGGGATCCTCCCTATCGCTAAGGCCATCGTCTTCGACAGAATACGTGATGAGTAGCCTGTTCTGTATGAAGTCTATGGGCCTTTTAGGGATAATTTCGTCCGGATTTTCCTCCTGGTACGTCAACGGTCTATTGTTCAGGGTGCCTTCAATTTCTACAAGCACGGTCCTGAGTGAGTCTTCGTCGACGATTTTCCTGCCAAGGGTTTTGTAGAGCGATTGTTTGACGTCTTTTATAAGACGCTCGTAAAACCCTCCTTGCCACGGTGCATACGGCGTGATCTTTTTCCAAATTATGTGCGCGTTCGCCATAGTTTGATCCACTTCGTCGTTTTTTAGACAATCCGTGGTTATTCGCTCTGTTAATGCGAAATTCGTGGCGTTGTCGCAGGTGATCGAGTCCGGAACTCCTCGACGTGACATAAATCGACGTAGGGCGTTTATGAACGCTGTCGCCGAGTTGTCTCGGATGAGCTCAATGTGCATTAGGCGGGTTGTTGCACATGTGAATATGCATCCGTACGCTTTCGAGACGATGTTTTCGTTGCTTCGTATTTTCATGGGTCCGAACAGGTCTAGACCAATATTTTGAAAGGGTCGTGACCTGACTACTCTTCGGGTAGGTAGATCCACTAATGGTGGGTATCGGAAAGGTAAGTTATTGAATTTCTGACACGGTACGCATCTCTGAATCTCCTTCTTCGTCTGTTGTCTCAACTTCGGTATCCAGTATTTCTTTCGGACCTCCGCCATGGTTAACCCGACTCCACAGTGGAGTTTACCATGCACTTCTCTGATTATGAGCTTCGCTAAATGCGTGTTCGGCGCGATGAAAATGGGGTTTTTGGCGTCTTCTTGCAGGCAGCTATTGCCTAATCTTCCGAAGCATCTCCAGATACCTTTGTCGTCTTTGGTAATGTTGAGTTTTCGTTGTTCGTTGGCTGTTATCAGTTCTTCGTGGTCTTTCTGGTGGAGCTTAATAATAATCCTTTCTGCTTGCGCAAGATCTGCTCCTTGGAGTTTATCCGTATTCTTCTGAATTCCACTGGCTCTTCTGATTTTCTGTTTCGATTCCTCTGGTAAGTTCTTCGCCAATTTGTTCAGGAATATGCCAACGTACGCTACGGTTCTTTTCAGTCTTCGAAGCGAGCTAAATCGTTCCACCTGTATGAGTGGGTGACTCGCATTCGAGATCTGCAATACTTCAGCAGGATCAGGGGGTAATTGGAATCGTTCTAGCCCTTCGTAAATGGCATTTTCGTCCGTGAGCGAGGTCGGAGGGCCATCCCACCATATATGATGTTGCAATTCCTCGGCTGTGAGACCTCGTGTGGCGCAGTCTGCTGGATTTATCTTCGTGTTAATGTAGCCGAAATAGGTGTTTTGTTTACCCCTTCCTGCTCTAGTTTCTTCGCTATTTTCTTAATTTCTTTGATTCTATTCGTTACTAAGACTCCTGTAGCCTTCTGTGGGCTTTCGTTCTTCAGCCAACAAGGCTATTTCCGAGTCTGAGAGGAGATAAACTGTTTTTATGTTGATGGTTTTCTTCAATTCTTCGAAAGTGGATAACAACAGCCTTCCTGCTATCGTCAAGGCGTTGATTTCCAGCTTCGGGATTGTATGTGACATCTTTAACGAAGGTAATTTCGACTTCGCAATCAGCAGGTGCTGTTCGGTTCCTTGCCTAATGTAAACAGCTGCTGCTAACGCGTAGGTGCTGGCGTCACTGCAGGCTATTAGTTGGTAGTTTCCTTGCTTCGTCCCTAGTTTTCTCGGTAGCTGCTTCGAGAAGCCTGCAATGGATTCCCACAACTTCTTCCACTGCTCCTGGTCCTCTTCAGAGAGCAAGTCGTCCCATCCATATGGTTTTAGCCACAACTGCTGGAAGAAGTGTTTGTTTCGCACCATAAGCGGTGTGAGCCAGCCTAATGGATCGAAAACTGATGCGTTGACGTGTAGTACCGCTCTTTTCGTTACTCTTTTTAGCGGTTCCCCGTCGCATCTGGCTACTAATATGTCATCGTTAGTGAGCCAATCGATCCCTAAGACCTTGCACTTCGTTGAAGTGCTACGGTCTCTTTCTGCGAAGTGTCTTCTGACCTCTGCATCATTCGTAGGAACTCCCTCATGTTCATATTGATGTCTTCGAAGATTCGTTTGATCTCTTTGTATTGTTTGACGGCTTCATCTCTATCATCCGTCGTTCGTTAAGAAGAGGTTGTCCACATACAGATTATCCTTTACTTGTGAGGCGAAATCGTTCCCGCTTTCTGTGGTATCCAAGTGGAAGTTGATGGTGGCTCCCAACAGAAAGGGTGACGATATAAGACCGTGTCACTCGTGTGAAGCGGAAAGTGACAATGTTTTCTTCGCTCAATGATTCGTTTAGATTCTTGAGCCATAAGAATCTTGTTGCATCTCGGTCTTGTTCATGCAACCTCACTTGTAGGAAGGCTTTTTCTATATCCGCGGTCATAGCGATCTTTCCCATTCGGAATCGCATAAGCATTCCGCAGATATTAGGTATCGTCAAGGGTCCTTGGTGAAGGACATCGTTGAGTGACGGCTTCCCAGCATAATGAGCTGATGCGTCGAAGACGATACGCTTTCGGTTTGTTCGTTTTTCTGGGTTAACCACTGCTTGATGTGCCAGATAGTGGATGATTTTGCCTTTAGGTCGAGGTTTGCCGGCATTTTCTTCCACTACTTCGATAATCCCTTTCTGGAGTTGATCTTTGAAGATGTTATCGAACTCCTGTAGGAATTCTTTGCGGTCTTCGTACTGTCTGAGCAGTGACTTCAATCTGGCTAGTGCAATGGATCTGTTATCTGGTAGGTATTCGTGAGGCTCCTTCCATGGTAGCCGTACATAGTATCCATCTTTTTTTCGTACAATTGTTTCCTTGAATTTTTTGAGAATTCGGTCCTCTTGGATCTGCTTGTCTTCTTTCTCAGTTCCTGTGTATTCTTCGATCCCTGAGGATTCCATCTTCCAGTAGTTATCATATATGTCCAGCTCGTTATCTTCGCTACTGGTTTGTAATGTAGTGGATGCTGCTTTCGTCACAGGTTTTTTCTTTTTCCCTGAGAGCATGAATCCAAACTTCGTCCCAATGAGATGCATGCCCGAGGGTAAGTTGTGCTTTTCGTTCTCCATCAATTCCCATAGGTAGTCGCATCCTAAGAGAACGCGTGGATGAATGTCTTTGTTGGTCTTCGTTGATAGATGTAGACCACGTTCTTTGATGTAGCTCAAATCTTCGTCCGTGAGCTGTGGTTCCGCCGTCTTGGATGTTAGAATTGCACAGTCGTATAGTTTGCATGGATGTGTGTCGCCCATTCTGTCTACTAGATCCACGTGTACTATACGGTGCTTTTCTTCTTTTGCCAGCTTAGTTCCAAACGTCTTGAGACGTAAAGTGGAATTTCCTTCTACCTTTAGTTGAAGTTCGTCCACTAGTTTGCTATCTATGAATGATAGCTCTGATCCTGTGTCCATGAGTACTTGGACTTGTCTGGACTCTGCGGGTCCTTGTATGTGGCGGTTCCTGTTAAGAGGAGTGCTCCTGTTTTCTGGGTATTGCTGTCCCCTACATGGTTAACTCTGCTCTCGTCTTGGGAATCGCTCATCCTTTCTGGTTCACTATCTTTTTCTATTGTGACCAGGTTTTGTCTGGTTTGCCTATGTGTGGCTTGTGTTGTTCCTCTCTGCTGCATTCGTACAACGTTGGGTGTGGGAACTATTCGAGCTGGCTGATTGATTTGTTGGGGCTTCGTTGTCGTCCCTGTAGATTGTTCGTGGTTCGGCGGCGGTAATAGTCTTCGACATGTGGATGAATGGTGCTTGAGTCCACATCTAAAGCGTCCTTGACTCCTACAGTTCTGTGCAGTGTGGTTCGGCCTTCCACAATTTGTGCACAGCTGATTCCTCGCCAAGAACGCTGCTCGCTCCGATATTGGAACAGTCCTGCACTCCACTGATCGATGATTACTTCGTTTGCAATAGATGCAGGCTGGTATCGGGCGTCTCTCCTGACTTTCTCCCCTTAGGGGAGAGAGTGGCGTATGAGGCTTCGTGATCAGTTCTTAACTCCTTTCTATCCTTTCTTTGGTAGTGATAATGTCTTGTAAGTCCTTTTGGAGAACTGACCACGTCCACTGTTGAGAATCTGTGAGCCTCTCTCGCCTTTCGAATGCCTTCGCTTGGATTTCGGCACTGAATTTTCGTAAGACTAGGTTGAGCACTAGTCTTTGATTGACATCCTGGCCTTTCGCGGCTAGTTGCGTCAGGATGGTAGCCTAGTGGACAATCCCTCCGCCTTGGTGGTTTCGAGCTGCATCAACAGGTCTTCGATGATGGATGCGTCTTCGCCATACTTTATTTTGAGAGCTTCGATGACTAGTTGATAGCTTGCTTCTACCACCTGAAACTGTGCTGCCGTCTGCCTTGCCTCTCCTACTAGCGACTGGAGAAGGTAGTTAAATTTGATCATCGTGGGGATTGGCTGTTCGTCCACGGTGACTTGGAATATGGCCCAAAAGGACCCCCATTCCTCGCGTCTTCCGCTAAACTTGGGAAGTTGTAGCCTGGGCAGCATTGATTGCAGCTGGGTGGACGGTGGCGGGGTTGTCCATCTTGACGACTCGTTGGATGCCTGAGGTGTGTTGACGGTTTCGAGTTGTCTCTCTCTTCTTCTTGCCGCTTGGGCGAAGTTATCCAGTGTGGAGGAAAGTTCTGTCTCCTTTTCGTCCAGTTTGTTAAGAAGGGAGAGTGCCGTCGCTGTTAAATCCCAAGCACGGTCAACATACGTCTCTTGGGATGTTCGTTCTTCTTGCTGAGAGTTGTTGTCCAACGAGTTGAAGGCTTCCTGATAACTAGAGACCGCTGTCTCTAGTGCTGCTTTGGTTGTGATGATGTTGGTGTGGCGGTGCTGTATCGATTTTATCCTAATTCGTAGGAGATCCATTGACTCTTCTTCGTTCTCCGTGATGGGGATTTCGAAAGCTACCATATGTTGGGAGCTTTCTATCAGCTCCTCCAGTGTGTTCCCCAACTTCGTGATCCTTGTTTTGTGCGGCTTTAACGATGGCCCCATCCTTCCTTCGTTTATTCTAGACGTCTTCGTTTACTCCTATCGATTTCGTTCGGCCTGGACTTCGTGAAAGGTCGATGCACCAGTAAAATTTTTGAGTTGGGTCCCGGGTACCAAAGGGAAAGAGCGAGGGGGACCCCGTACTCAAAAATTGACCAAAAACTCGAAAAGAAGAGAGAAAAGGAGGAAGTGAAAGGGTTACTGAAATCCCACCTTTCACCGGCTCCGTTGAAACTGGGCCTTCGGATGTCTGAGCGCTTCGTGTGCCACGCGGGTCTTTCCTAGCTGAGGTTGGGGCGCGAACACTGAATGAATAGTGAACCAATGACAGAACTAGAAATACCAAATCGGCTTGAAGTAGTCGCGGATAGCAACCGCCGTAGATACACACCTCAAACTTGGGTAATTAAACCCTTTATTTACCATTAATCAACAACAACAAAACATGCGAGACAAAAATACGAGGCGTAAAGAAATTCTAATCGAACTTTGAGTATCATAATGAGCACCAGTGAAGGGATAAACACTTCACGGTAAGTATGAGGCACAATGACCTGAGTACACGAGAAAAAAATAGCAAATAAACTCAACAAATAACATATGAACGCTACTGAGTACTAGGGAAACAGCAAATAGTTGCAAAAAAGTGAACCGGAACCAATGAACCGAAAATATGGGCAAGCATGAGATGTAAACAATGAGAACAAAAGCATATGTGCCAGTATACCTCGGAGTTATACAAGACAAAGTGACAGCAAGGTATGAATCAATGGTCGACGAAGAAATGACGATTGAGAAGTATAGTTAGAACGACCAAAAAATTTCGTCGAACGAATGAATTTCGAATAATCTTCTTTTGAAAAATATTCGAACGAACGAATATCATTCGATCTGTAATTTTCAGATTATTCGAATTCGAATATTCGAATAATGCTACATTTCAAAATTCGAATGAACAAATATTCGAATAAATGGGGTTGGTCGAACATTCGACTATTCGAATAATCGAATAATTACATACAATCGAATATTCGACTATTCGAATAATCGAATAATTACATATGATCGAATATTCGACTATTCGAATAATTCGAATAATCTGACACCTAAAACAATGCTGGTTTTTTCTTCGTTGCGATTTTCTGCAAAAAATTCATCGCTATATTTGATCTTTGTAGCTGATAATTATATGTGTAGCAAGTGGTAGGATGACTGGGTTATTGTCGTTGGTTAGGGTTCCACTTAGGAAACAGAAGAACTTCACTCAAACATGTAGTTCGAGTGTTCATGGTCTTTCAAGATGGCTAGTGAGCCTTACTTAGTAATCGTTTTAAGTCCGCATTTATTTTTCCTCACAGAACTTTCTTCCAAGCTACACAGAACTTCTTCCCAAAGCTGAAGATTTAACATGGAAAACATTTTAGATTAGGTAATCCTTTTTAATTTAATCGTAATGGTCAGCATTGCGTGAGTTCTAAGAATAGCACTGGAGGGGTACGAGGAAGGCCTACATTAATAGAATCAATGAACCTCTGCTACTGTCCCGAAAGTTTTGTCCTTTTTTTCAAACAAGTATAAAACCACGCACAATAAAGACCTGAATGAATTTCAGCATTCGATGCAGCTTTTCCTTCTCTTTTTTAAGAATACTTCGAACCACAATCTTGTATGCTTTCTTTAATAACTGCCGAAATTCTCCATCCGTCAATTTAAGCTGCTCAGAGTTAGGGTACTTTTTCTAAATTTCATTCCAAAATTTCGGAAAGGACTAAGTATGGATCAAACAGAGCAATTATAAATACAAGGTAATATTTTGGATTCTCTTGATTTGCTGTTTTTAGCTTCAAAAACATTATATCTTCGGAAGTCTCGAATTCTGGCAAAGTCATGAAACACGCAACTGCAGCAGATACATGAAAGCTTTTGAAACTTTTGCGAATTGAAATATCTTATCAAGCATTATTTATGCTACATAACCAAGTTTGATTTGTTTTGAAAAAGCAGCTTCTTGGAATTTTCGGTACTTTTACGTGGTAAACGTAATCAAAAAGGCGCAGTTATTATCAAACAAATAACTATAAGGAACTTGGTAAACATGGCCCATGTAATCTAAAATGGGTACAATGTAGCCAAAGGCTTGGCATGACATTCATCAGCGCTCTTTGAAAACATCAGGATAACATCATTTTTGAAACTTAGTAAAAATTTGGCGTTACTTCTGAGCTGCTCAGGAAGCTGATTTTAACACTGCAAAGACAGAGTAGATCAGAGAGCAAATACAGCTGTAAGAAAGAAGATAAGAATCTGTATTTAAGCTGGTCATGGATCGGTGTTCTCTGAGTTCTAGTGAGCGATGATAAAAAACGGACAAAACTTCCAGGACAACCTAATAATTCTGTGCTCATCGAAATCCGAAAAAGGAAACTCGTGGAAACATCTGCATATTAGCTGATAATCTAATACTTGTCGGGGATTATCAATCCCCGAGTTTCACAGTTTCTGCTGTGGGAATTTAGGAATTCTCACAAAGCTGTTTAGTTATATTTTTGAGGTTTGTACTTTTGTTGTAAGGGATCCTCCATATCTTTTACTCAGGTTCAAAATAATTATTGTTCAACCTACACGCCTACTCGGAGTATTATTCCTCTACGAACTTTGCAATAATGCAAAGTTCGTAGAGGAATAATACTTCGAGCGGCTCAGGTCCCACGACCGCCTTGCTCTAGCCTTGCGTTGTAACGTATCTTCAAAGTATTTTGACACGCGAGCGGTGATTAGGCTGGCAAGGCAAATGAAGACCTTGAGATGAAGGATAGAATGTTGCCTATACCTGCTGCCTTAAAGGACGCTGGTCCTTCACATGCTTTTGCAAGCTGTTTGAGGACCAGTGGTGCGCTAAAGGGCGCCTAATGATGGCTTTCCTTCTTCATCCAATTTAGAGCTTGGAGGTATCTGCGAGTGATTACGTGTATTAACTCTCAGACGCGATTTCCAGAAGATAGTTCACCACTCCAAATGAATTATGCGTAAGGCTTGTCATCACTATGCTCTGGCATGACTCGCGACTCATGCCTTGAAAAGGGAAGCTTGCTAGCCATTCTGTCATTTGATGATTCATTTGTGTGATTGACCGATCGGGGACATACTTGTACTCAGTGTACAGCTAAAGTTTTCTTTTGACATCGAATGTTCGAATGAATGCTCTTAAATATTCGAATATTCGAATGACTGTCTTTCAAGTTGGCTCGAATATTCGAATATTCGAATAACCGTCTTTTAAAATTCCTCGAATAAACAAATATTCGAATAACTCATTTTTCCAAATCATCGAATGAACGAATTATTCGAATACAGGCCTTTTTCATTTATTCGACTATTTGAATAATCGAATAATTGGACTGTCTCG